GCAGGAAAACACCTCTCCATTTTCCTTTGCTGCCCTGTCAGGGCTCTGATTTATCTATTTGTTTATTTCTCCCTGGCTGAAGCTTGCTATTAATTATGGTTTGGATGAGGCCTCCTCTTTTTAATGTGTTAAATTCCCTCAGTGGTTTCCAGTTGCTGGACAGAGGAGGTACCAGGTCTTTCTGGTAGTGATGTCTGCCCTTCTCAATAATTGCCTGCACTTGGTGACTTGCTGTAACTCTTGGCAGAAGGTTTAATCCTTCAATTAGCATCACTTCCAGGCAAGCCTGGTTCCCTCAGGAGGAAACCTAGCCAAGTACTTGGGGTTGTGTTGTGCCTTCCCCCAACCCCCAACAGTGGTCTTATGCTGAGATGGAGCTTCTTCTTTAAATTAGAACTTTCCAGGTGATACTGCAGTCCAAAGCATCTCCTAAGAGTTTTCACATCCTGCATACCCCAGAGTGCACTGCCCTCTTCCCTTCGATATCTCAAAAAACTCTGTTCCTAGATGCACTTCCATCTCCACCAGCTGTGCTCATTGCACAGGGGGCATTAACCCAGGATGGACCTTCGTGTCTTGCCTCAATAAGCAGGCAGAATCACAGAATTACAGAATGATTGAAGTTGGAAAGGGACCTCTGGAGGTCATTAAGCCCAACATCCTCTGCTAAAGCAGTTTCAGCTACTGTAGGTTCTGTAGGACCGTGTCCAGTCATTGCAAGCTGAAGCAGATCCATCCTTAAGGGACAAGAGGATTTAGTGGCAGTCAGAGGCTGAGGGCGGGAAGCAGCAGTGCACATTTCTTTCCAGTCACCCTTCCAACCTTTACCCACGATCCTGACCCAAAGCTGGGGATATTCTGGGGCTGAAAAAAGACATCTCAGTGTCTTCATCTCCAATACCTACAGCAGCACCACATGGAGGTATGTATGTGGAGAAGATTAGACTAAGACATCAAGATATGTTGGGGGGTGGAATGAGTTGTGTCACATGCCATGAGAGAAGTAACAGTTTGACACTGCAGGTGGACTAGTGCCTGTGTAAATTTAAGAGAGCCAAGCCTAGCCAAGGAAGCATGTGAGCAACAAATTGTGTGCAATTCGTGTCCAAGGTATGAGGTGGAGAAGCCTGGCTGGGAAGTTCATTCCATCTCCTAATTTCCTCTGTGTCTTTCTCTTTCCTTATTGCTGCAGGAAGCTGCTGAAATCTACCCTCGTCCTTATGCCTCTGTTTGGCGTTCACTATATTGTTTTCATGGCTATGCCATACACAGATGTGTCAGGGATTCTTTGGCAAGTTCAAATGCACTATGAAATGCTGTTCAACTCTTTCCAGGTATCGTAACTCTTAAAATAAGGGGCAACTATAAGAATTTCCATGGGGAGGAGGGAAATGAGAGTGGAGGGTGTTGTCTTGGGAAGCGGGGTTGTTTTTGCAATACACCAAATTTCATTCACAAGGTGATTTGACTGTATTTTAGCATCCAGAATGGTTTATATTTGCAAAATACAACCTATAAAGGCTCAGTGTGTCCAACAAAAAAACAACAAAAAAATGTTCCTGTTGAAAGATAACTTGCCCCACAAAATAAATCCCTTTAGATCCAGGTTAAACGTAAGCTGGTAGAGATTCACAGATAGATGTTGTTTCATATTAGCTTCTGATTTGCTTGTCCCAAGTTGTCTTTCAGTCCTGTGAATTGATTCCTCAGTTCTAGTTTTGGGCAAAAGGTAGGTTCAGTTACAGGGCTTGTCCTACATAAGACACAGCAGCAAGAATCATAGAGTCATAGACTGGTTTGGATTGGAAGGGACCTTAAAGATCATCCAGTTCCAACCCCCCTGCCATCAGCAGGGACACCTTCCACTAGACCAGGTTGCTCAAAGCCTCATCCAGCCTGGCCTTCAACACTTCCAGGGAGGGGGCATCTACAACTTCCTTGGGCAACCTCTATGATAATAACAATAGTAATGTGTATTGTTATAATAACAATACACAACTCTCTATAAGCACAGCAGTGTTTGATCATTACTCCTCTGAGAGATTAACTTTTGGCTTGCACGCTACCACCTATCGTCATGGTTGACCAGTGTGGACCATGAAAGGTGAACAGTGGGTGGGGCCAGATGACAGTTTAGAGAAACTGTGAGGGAGATGGGGACCAAGCTTGCATTCATTTGCTTGCACTCCCTGGAAGTGTTCAAGGCCAGGTTGGATGAGGCTTTGAGCAACCTGGTCTAGTGGAAGGTGTCCCTGCTGATGGCAGGGGGGTTGGAACTAGATGATCTTTAAGGTCCCTTCCAACCCAAACCATTCTATGATTCTGATTCTATGATTCATTTGCTTCCACAACTCCTGTTGGGTGCAGATGGGATAAAATAGTGGGTGACCTCAGTAAGACTTGGGTAAACTATTGGTCAACAAAAATATGTGGATGGTTTGCTCACATTTGAATTCCTTTGCTGATTCCACTCAGCCAGTTCTGCCTCACACATGGGCAGCCCCACTTACAACTAGGGCTGGAAAAATTCATCAGGACCATCTTCCCATGCTGCAGCAGGATCAGCTACATGTAAAACACTGGAAATATTTATCCAATATGCACAAAAACACCTCCAGTGAAGAAGACCTCGGCACCTTTCCAGGTTCCCATCACCATCTCAGAAACTTTGCAAAAGATCTGGGGGCAAAAATAGACCTGTTAGCTAAACCATCATGGAGAGGGCTTATGTAGTCTACCTAGAATCATAGAATCACAGAATGGTTTCGGTTGGAAGGGAACTTAAAGATCATCTAGTTCCAAACCCTCTGCCATCAGCAGGGACACCTTCCACTAGACCAAGTTGCTCAAAGCCTCATCCAACCTGGCCGAGAACACTTCCAGGGAGGAGCAGCCACAACTTCCTTGGGCAACCTGTCCCAGTGTCTGACCACCCTCACAGTGAAGAACTTCTTCCTAATATCTAATCTAAACCTACCCTCATTCATCTTAAATGTGTTTATCCATCTCTCATGTGCTACTGAACCATGCAAGGTTTCTTACGCACATTATATGAAGCATATTAAGAATGTCATTGATTTAAGAGGAACACGGGGACACTGGGCAACACCATCAGGAAAAAGATACATATCTCATGCAAGATCAACATTAATATGTCATTTCTTCTTCCTTCTAGGGATTTTTTGTTGCCATCATATACTGTTTTTGCAATGGAGAGGTAAGTCACCAGCTTCTTAATTATTTCCCTGCTTTGTTAGGTTAGTTCCACAAACAGATGGTAAAGTAGGATGCACATCAGCATATCCCCACTTATTCTAGAGATGCAACCCTGGTTTGCACTCAGTGAAAGATCTGTCAGTCCATATAGACAATTCATACCCTCAGTTTTGGTGGTGTAAGATATCCAGGTCAGTATGATGCCAACAAATGAGCTACTGGAAGTAGTTAATGGAGAAAAAAAATAAGTGGTTTTTCTTTCCTTTTCCCAGCACAAGTGCTGTTTAGTGCTGCTTAATTTCACATCTGTGGCAGGAAGAAAAGTGGATTGATGGAGTAGTTGCTGAACCAACAAGTTCTTTTGATTGGCCAGAATTTTTTATCTTTTTTCTTCCTATTTCCAGAGTGATATCACAGAATCACAGAATATTATGCTTTAATGTCTTTGTTTCCATTAATTCCTTTTATGGCTGCAAACTAAGAAAATAGATGGTCAGTGGATGCACACTGAGAAAGAACTGAGCTACTTTCATGGCCCAATATAATTCTGGGTTAACCCAAGTTTATGGAATTTAAGGGGAAATGTAACTCCAAATATCCTGCTTATATTCTACGGAATAAAACCAAGATGAAATTCATATCATAAGGGGAATTATCTCATACTAACTGTAGCCATCTAAAAGTGAGACATGCAGTCTAAAGTAGTCAGCTAACTCTTTTCTAGAGGAAATTTTTAGAGACTCAGGCACCTCTGAAGGTGGTTCATCCCAATTACACTTGATGCTCATGGTACATTGAGATGACTCACTCCT